GGGATTAAGAGGTAGTGTGTGGGAAATAGGGTGCATAGAACGGGGGAAGAAGGGAAAAGATAAGGAAAGGGGGGCAAAGCGAGGGAAAGAGGGGACGAGGGAGGGAAAAAGGGGACGAGGGGGGGAAAGAGGGGACGAGGGAGGGAAAGAGGGGACGAAGGAGGGAAAGAGGGGAGGGGGGGGAGGGAACGATGGGCTGTGGACTGTTCCGCATGTGCTGAAAAAGGGAAGGAGGGGCATAATGACGACAGGAGGGGCTTAGAGTGGGGGAATGGAGTGGCAGAAACATGGAAGCTGAGTTGTGAGTGGGTGGGGGGGGGGGGGGGGGGGGGGGGAGATGAGAGGAGGGGGGAGGGTTTGAGAGAGGGTAGTAGTACATGAACCCGGGTATGGGGCATTGTATGTTGTTTGTGGCTGAATTGTTGTTTATATGCTTAGGCACGCTAAACCGATCCCCAACACCCAATGCCCCAATTCCGAACCTTTCAATCCACCCAAACACGTCCTATCCAGGATGGTCGATGCGCTTGTTCTAGCATTCGACAACCAGAAGTCGAAGTGGCTTATTATCAAGGTGCATCTTGTATCGCACCTCCCGCCGACGATCCGTGCACGGGGATTGCCACAGGAGTACTCGTCGAACCGGTACGAGCAGTCCCACAAGACAACAGTGAAGCGCCCTTCTCGCGGCACCAACTGGAAGGGTGTGGAGGATCGCATTGTGACGAAGCATATCGAGCAAGCCGTTGTTCGACAGCTGTCTCGAGCCTCCGGCGGGGACAAAACATACAAGACAGCCATGAAGGAGGTGAGCATGTGTACGACCTAATGCCAATCTTGCCCACCAATGTTCCCCGCCTGCTCCTGCCGCATGAAACCCTCATCACCTCGTGTTTTTGTTTAGACCCTGCCTCTTCCCTTCCTCCCGCTGCCCCCCTAGACATCCCTTCTAGCATCCACGTGCTCACCATCATGTCCACCCATGAAATGCCTCTACCGCTGCCCCCCTTGACATCCCGTTTTGCATCTACATGCTCGCATTCTTGTCCACCCATCGCTCCTTCCACAAGCTGCCACCCTTCACATTCCGTCTTGCCCCACATGCTTTCCCACTTAACCACCCATGCCCCTCCCCCGGCCCCCGTGGGACTATCCGTCGTTCAGCCCCCAATGCTCCCCTACTAATCCACCATATACTTTCGTGCTGCTAAACACTTCGCCCCCTCGGTTCCCCCCCCCCCCCCCCCCCCCCCCCATCCTCCTCCATGTCCATCCCCGGCACTTCCCATTCCCTCCTGCCGTTTGTCTTTCCTTTGCTCTCCCTTGATCTACACTTGTCCACCTATGCTCCCTCCTCTTGCTGCACCCTTTGACCTCTGGAACTGCCCCGCTATACTATCCGACTGTTCCCTAATCTTTGCTCCCTCTCACTGCTGCCCCTGTTGTACTCAAGTGCTGCCCCTCTCCTGCTGCCCCCCATGTACACCATGCACCCATCACCCTCCTACCCAGGCTTGCACGCTTGGGCGTCGGGTGCTGACTAAGACACACAAGAAGATGACCGTGGGGCAGATCACAGATGATATGTTCAGGAGCTATGTCCTTGTTCACGGAGATGAAGCGATGGGCTACTTGAAGAAGCGGCTGGCCAGGGAGGGAATTTACGACCAAGTGCTCAATGTGAGAATCAATATGGTGCTCAATGCGGGAGAATCAATGTGAGAATCAACTGCCACTGCCACGTAGACCTGTTAAACGCGGACCATCAACCTCCTTAATGGGCCGAACCCAGGCATGGCACCCTGTTGTATCCACGCACCCGTCAGCACCCCATTGTCTCAACCCTAACACAAACTTCCATTGTTGTGCTGCAACCCCTGCTTGCCTATTCGCAGGTGCACACTGCCATGGCAATCCCACCGCACGACAAGATGGAGTGGACCGAGAAGGGCCAGTTTGTCAAAGCAAGCCCTTTCGACAGGCACTTTTCAGATGTAGCCATAAATCCAGGTGGCAAAGGGGCCAACTGGTACGGCCGCTGCTTGATGCTGTTCCATTACGTGAAAGATGGCGTGGCAAAAAAAGCCGCCTACATCGAGTACTACACGGAGGATCGGCGAGTCTGCCGGTACACTGGCTGCAAACGACTGTTGCCCACGAAGGGCACCTTCAACTATGCAGTTGTAGATGCAGATTGCATTCTTAGCATCGTGCATGTTGTCCCATGCTGCAAAGACCCTGCTGTGAAGCTGCTCAATAGGTTCATCTGGTGATGCAAATAAAGTAGCAACTATGTCAATTTACCATAACCTTCTGTGATTGTGAAACAAGCTTTTAAGCCACCTTATTATTGTCTCAACAATTAACATCTAACAAACATTCCATTGTAACACCGCGAAACCATTACTAAAACATCACCAAAACGTTTGGTCTGACAAGAATGCTATACAAACGATTCGTAAATGATTCCTGGATGATTGTCAAACGATTTTCAGAAGCTTGCTTAAAAAAAAAATGGTCAGATGATTTCCAGACGCACACATTTTTGTGATGGGCATGAGAAATTTGGCTTCACACTCTTGTTTCCTTTGCACCAGGATTGGACCTGGCATCCACCCTTAGTTGGTGCAAGCTCGTCCCTTTTTAATAACAACCAGAGATGAGCAGAGCTGAGCCGAGAAGTGGCAGTTTGAGTCTGGAATAACTTTTCACAATGTATGAATGCGTGCCCCCTCAAGTGTTTACTTGCTCTGGATGCATGGTCTCCTTGTTCATTTGCCCATCAGGGAACTTTGCTACAACAGCTTAAGTGGCAGCATCCCTGCATCCATCGGCAATCTTAAGAACCTCGAATACTTGTTAGTGCCGTTCCTCCTCGGTAATTGATTGATATGTTAGCGCCATTTCTCGTGCTTCACATGTGGGTATAGTTATGTCCGCCCTGCATGCTTCTTCACGTCGTGGTTCATGCATAATGATCTAGGCATTCAGTCCAAATTGCATCGAACCTTCTTTCTCTTCGAAGCTCAATCGAACTGAGCTCTTAGCCCAATCTACACTTAAAGATGTGGTTGACAAGCTCAAATCAGGCCCTTAGAGGGCGTTTTGAAGCTGGGAAACCGCGCAAAGTTTTGACACACGCGGTCATGTTTTTTCTTTGTCGAAATTTAGGCCGCTTATATTGCAAGTTTTTTGGCGTTTGAAGGAATAGGGATATACTCACAAAACTCCAATTTCCCATCGACTCTCTTTTTGCACCTTATTTCCGAGATGCATATGGCTGCTTGATAACAAGCTTAAGGGCTCCATACCAGCAATGTTTTCCAGCCTTTTATCTTTGACCAGCTTGTGAGTTATTCAATCATATAAGCTATTCGTTCTTACATAATAAAGTTTCTTAAGCTACTAACGTGTTAGCTTCTCAGTCCATTTTATATTATCTCCCTCAACCTCAACTGCCTTATAAAAAAAGAAAATAAATGTATTCCTTTTACTTTTGTTTGTCATGCAATCTGATGTATGACGGGATGTGACGGGATGGGTTGATTTGGGATGGAGCGAAAACAAGACCATGCATCCCTGCTGTGCACATGCAATACAAGTTGCGTGCAGTGTCTGGTCTCTCAATTCGATGAGATGAGATAAGGTGGAGATGAGGTGTGATGGGATGAGTTGTGATGGGATGAGGTGTGATGGGACCAGGTATGATGTGTTGAATTGTAATGTGGTGAAATGTGATCTGATGGGGTGCGATGTGATGTGATGATATGTGATATGGTGTGATGAGATGTGATATGGTGAGATGAGATGTGATGAGATGAGATGTGATGAGATGCTTTGTGAGCGTGATGTGATGTGACGAGGTGTGATATGACAGTCCCTTTCTTTCGCCCTACTCTTTTCAAACCACCAGCAATGCAAGCCCTTGTCTTCCCTCCACAATGTTCTAAAAAAAAAACAATCTGGCTAGTTGACCTTTGTATTCCACCATAATCATGTTTGCTTCTCCCTACCTGCCATGGCATGCACTGCCAGGATCGCAGTCTGGTTGAATGAAGAGGCAGTGAAGCTCATGATATTTAGAGCGACCATGGGCGACCATGGGCGACCATGAGCTAGCATGTGCAGGCAGCCTTGGAACACATCACAGAGGCACTGTTCTGCTCTTTTTCTCACTTAATGCATACCATGCCTTATGCATAAATTACACACCCCCTCCATCGCACTCGTCTCTTGAACTATGTCTCTTGCCACCAGGAACCTTGGCTACAACGACTTGACAGGCACCATTCCTGGCTTTCTTGGCAACCTCCCAGCGCTTGCTCAGCTGTGAGTGTGGCTGCTAACATGTGAGTGCTGCTGTTTGTGCTGACATGTGAGACACATCTTGACTGCACCACATGCCATGTAAGCCACATCATGACTCCACGACATGCCATGTGGGACACATTAGGACTGCACAACATGCCATGTGAGACACATCACGACTGCACAACATGCCACGTGGGACACATTACGACTGCACAACATGCCATGTGGAACACATTACGACTGCACAACATGCCATGTGGGACACATTACAACTGCACAACATGCCATGTGGAACACATTACGACTGAACAACATGCCATGTGGGACACATTATGACTGCACAACATGCCATGTGGGACACATCACGAGCACAACATGCCATGTGAGACACATCACGACTGCACAACATGCCATGTGAGACACATTACGATTGCACAACATGCCATGTGGGACACATCACAAGTGCACCGCATGCCATGTGCGTTACATCACGACTACACCACATCCCATGTGACCCACATCATACATCCACACGCACACCTGGTGCTTATTCATTCCCGTCGGCACCCTTGTAGCTCAGCATCAGCTATAGCACCACTGGTGGAGGCCATCTGCGCGGAACGTGCCCCTCATGTCATCATGCCTCTTCGCCCCTCATGCCATCATGCCTCTTCGCCCCTCATGCCATCATGCCTCTTCAGCCCTCATGCCATCATGCCTCTTCGTCCCTCATGTCATCATGCCTCTTCGCCCCTCATGCCATCATGCCTCTTCGTCCCTCATGCCATCATGCCTCTTCGCCCCTCATGCCATCATGCCTCTTTGCCCCTCATGCCATCATGCCTCTTCGCCCCTCATGCCATCATGCCTCTTCGCCCCTCATGCCATCATGCCTCTTCGGCCCTCATGCCATCATGCCTCTTCGTCCCTCATGTCATCATGCCTCTTCGCTCCTCATGCCATCATGCCTCTTCGCCCCTCATGCCATCATGCCTCTTCGCTCCTCATGCCATCATGCCTCTTTGCCCCTCTTGCCATCATGCCTCTTCGCTCCTCATGCCATCATGCCTCTTCGCTCCACATGCCATCATGCCTCTTCGCCCCTCATGCCATCATGCCTCTTCGCCCCTCATGCCATCATGCCTCTTTGCCCCTTATGCCATCATGCCTCTTCGCCCCTCATGCTAGCATGCCTCTTCGCCCCTCATAACATCATGCCTCTTCGCCCCTCATGCCATCATGCCTCTTCGCTCCTCATGCCATCATGCCTCTTTGCCCCTCATGCCATCATCCTCATGCCATCATGCCTCTTCGCTCCTCATGCCATCATGCCTCTTCGCCCCTCATGCCATCATGCCTCTTCGCCCCTCATGCCATCATGCCTCTTCGCCCCTCATGCCATCATGCCTCTTCGCCCCTCATGCCATCATGCCTCTTCGCCCCTCATTCCATCATGCCTCTTCGCCCCTCATGCCATAATGCCTCTCAAGGTGCAAAAAAACGATGGTTTTTCATTTTTTTGTCGTTTTTTTCGATATCGTAATTTTCGATCGTATAAAACGGAATAAAACGAGAATATTGATTAGTCCTTTTTTGGTGGAAAAAAACGATCGTTTTTTAAGATCGTAAATTTCGTACCACAATTTACAGTTACAATTATCTCCGGATAACGCACAACTCGCAGTGAAGGGTTTCACTCTATACACGAGCAACACAAGGGGAGAGGTAGCGGGAGGATTCATGAGGGAGCACAGGCATGTGGGTTGAAGTGAATCCACCCAGTACAGAGAGGAATCGTGGGTCAGAAATTTAGACCCACGTTCGAGGCGCGACATGCAGAAATTGGGACCCACCTTCGAGGCGCGGCATGCCAACACTTCGCTCCCCTGCTCTCGCTGATTTCGCAAAGCCTCGAGGTCACTTCGTGCACCCTTAAAAATGAATTCGTGTATGTGCGAAACACAAATGTCAAGACCTGCGACGCGACGTGCCAAGTTGTACACCCAAATTGCTTCTGTTTGTTCCTCGAACCGTAGATAGTTGACGCACGCATCAATTCGTCATGCTAGGGTTGGTTGCGACGTGAAAACTTATTTTAATTGCGGTCAGGCTAGAAAACTTATCAGCACTGACTTGCCAGAGAGTGTTGGTGGCTGGGGATTTGTAAGGTTTTTTTTTTTTTTTTTCTGAAATTTTTTTTTGGGCCTAACAAAAAAACGACGTTTTTTTTCCCAAACTTGACCGTAAAAAACGATCGTTCTTTTCAATCGTCTTTTACCGCAACCGTTTTTTTCCACCTTGATGCCTCTTCGCCCCTCATGCCATCATGCCTCTTTGCCCCTCATGCCATCATCCTCATGCCATCATGCTTCTTCGCTCCTCATGCCATCATGCCTCTTCGCCCCTCATGCCATCATGCCTCTTCGCCCCTCATGCCATCATGCCTCTTCGCCCCTCATGCCATCATGCCTCTTCGCCCCTCATGCCATCATGCCTCTTCGCCCCTCTTGCCACCATGCCTCTTCGCCCCTCATGCCATCATGCCTCTTTGCCCCTCGTGCCATCATGCCTCTTCGCCACTCATGCCATTATGCCTCTTCGCCCCTCATGCCATCATGCCTCTTCGCTCCTCATGCCATCATGCCTCTTCGCCCCTCATGCCATCATGCCTCTTCGCCCCTCATGCCATCATGCCTCTTCGCCCCTCATGCCATCATGCCTCTTCGCCCCTCATGCCATCATGCCTCTTCGCCCCTCTTGCCACCATGCGTCTTCGCTATGGATGAGCAAAGGGCGAACACGAACATGTTCGTCTTCGCCCCTTGTCGAACACCCTCTTTTGCCGAACCGAACAGTGTTCGGTTCGGCGAACAGTTTAGGAAAAAACAGGTATTCGCTGTTCGCCTATGGAGGCGTGTTCGGGCGAACCTCGAACACTGTTCGTGTTCGTCGCGGGCAAATTTCAGCAGCAGCCCGAACACGAACGTGTTCGGGCGAACATCGAACACTGTTCGGCGAACGATTTGAGCTAAAAAACAAAACCTGTTCGGTTCGCCTCGAACACGTTCGAGGCGAACCGAACAGGTGTTCGCCACCTTGCTCATCCCTACTCTTCGCCCCTCATGCCATCATGCCTCTTCGCCCCTCGTGCCATCATGCCTCTTCGCCACTCATGCCATCATGCCTCTTCGCCCCTCATGCCATCATGCCTCTTCGCCCCTCATGCCATCATGCCTCTTCGCCCCTCATGCCATCATCCTCATGCCATCATGCCTCTTCGCCCCTCATGCCACCATGCCTCTTCGCCCCTCATGCCATCATGCCTCTTCGCCCCTCGTGCCATCATGCCTCTTCGCCACTCATGCCACCATGCCTCTTCGCCCCTCATGCCATCATGCCTCTTCGCCCCTCATGCCATCATGCCTCTTCGCCCCTCATGCCATCATGCCTCTTCGCCCCTCATGCTAGCATGCCTCTTCGCCCCTCATAACATCATGGCTCTTCGCCCCTCATGCCATCATGCCTCTTCGCCCCTCATGCCATCATGCCTCTTCACCCCTCATGCCATCATGCCTCTTCGCCCCTCATGCTAGCATGCCTCTTCGCCCCTCATAACATCATGGCTCTTCGCCCCTCATGCCATCATGCCTCTTCGCCCCTTATGCCATCATGCCTCATCATGCCGCCGTCGTCCACAATGAGCGCCATCATGCCTCTTCGCCACATTCACTGTGGAACATCCCATCCCATACCCTGCTTTGTCGTCTACTCCACTCGTTGCTCTCCTCTCTTATGGAAAGCAGGTATCTGCATGCAAACAGCCTCAGTGGCTCAATACCGGCCACACTTGGCAACCTTTCGAACCCGGGAGATCTGTAAGCCGCTTGGCTTGGAGTGAACTACTTGACTTATATTCCGAGGGCACCTTATATTCCGGATGAGTGGAATTGATGTGCTGCGTATACAGATGATTCTTCAATGCCAATCTAGCCAATGGTGAATGAATGTTCGCCAGCATTTTTACGTGACTCACACCCCACATACAAATATGCTATGGAGTATGGCCTTTCTGTGCTCGCCGTTTGTGTGCCTTCCATGTCTTTCTCTGCGGACTTTTGCGCTTCAACAAGTTGAAAGGAACGATTCCTGAGTCGCTTTTCAATCTCACGAGTCTTAACACGTTGTGAGTGCTGTGCTGTGCAGTCCTTCGCTTCCCAGCCAAATGAGCCTCAAACAAAACCTGCCCTGCATGTACATTTCAACATTATTTTAGGCGCCTCAGAAGGCATTTTAGGCACTATAAGAGGCATTTCACCAGGGGTGAGCATGTATATGGAATGTGCACTGCACTGTACCGCACTGCACTGCACTGTGCCGCACTGCACTGCACTGCACTGCACTGCTCTGCACTGCACTGCACTGCACTGCACTGCACTGCACTGCACTGCGTTGTGCTGCTCTTCTTTGCCGCAAGCATGTCGATAGCTTTTCAAAGGCGTGGACCCTTTTCCTCCTTGCACGTATGCTTGTTGCTTAAGTATGATAAAATCGTCCCTTTTACTCTCCCTTTATTGCAACCTTTCTTGTTCACAAACTGCAGAAGTTTTGACGGAAATTATCTAACTGGTTCAGTTTCATCAAATCTGGGCAACCTTGAAGCGCTGATTTCCCTGTGAGCTTTTCTCACCGCATGCAGCAATCTTGATAACGCATGCAGCAATCTTGTTTTAAACAATCTAACTGGCTCAACTTTTAAATGGGAACACGAACATACTCCAAAAGTACTTTTGAAGCAAATTCGTCAAAAATTGATCTCCTACACGAGCTAACTTGCCTTGCCTGGATCCTTGGGAGAAATGATCACACAGTTGACAGCAACCAACGAGGATGACAACGAGATAGATCTCCCTGTATAGAAAGTCAGGGCCAGAGACAGAGTGAGAGGCCGAGTCAAAGGCAGAGTCACAGGAAGGTTTGTTAAGCCTATAGATTACGAGCAAATTCTATTGTTCCAGCAACCACGTGCAACCTTTATTGTTCCACGTGGTGAGCAACCATATTTGTCTCACCACCGGCACACCTTTCATCGTTCTCCCATCATCATCTCTCCTCCCTCCAATGTCAGGAACCTTTGCTTCAGCAGCTTGAAAGGGCCCAGCCCTTCATCCCTGCATCCGTAATAAAGAAAGAATGCTCTCCCATTGTCATCACTCCTTCCAATGTCATTGTCAGGAACCTTGGCTACAACAGCTTCACAGGGCCCATTCCGGACTCTATTGGCAAGCTCGCAAATCTGAATGTTTTGTGAGTGTGTAGTGCGTACCTCCTTGCTTTGATGTGTGAGGCAGGACAGAACCAATCAGTGGTCGCTATTCAGGTGATAACACACTCTTACAAGGTTGGGTGGTTTGCGTATGAACCCTAGCGTTTCAATTCAATCCTCCTTGTGAGTGTCTAAAATCACTTTATGAGTGTTTAATGAGCACCTCCTTGTCATAACATATAGCTTTTGCATATTGTGTAGGCTATACTGGGGTAGCCCACAAGGGGTACAACCCAATTAGGGTTAGTACTTGTACTCAGTTCATTCATAGTTCATTCATTCTCGTTCTCATTTTCTCATAGTATCGAGCAGGTTCCCCTGTGGGAACTGTGCCTAGGGCCCACCAAATTTCGAAATTTTTTTCCTGCCCGAAGCGCGCTCCGCCCGAGTCGCGCTCTCACCTCGTCGAGCCGCCCTAGCAGCTCCTACGCCCTAGCGGCCCTCCCTACCTTAGCGGCCCCGTCGCCCGTTCGTGCGGCCCCGCCACCTACTAGCGTGGCTCCGCCACCCGCATTCGCGGCCCCGCCGCCCTACGTCGCGACCCCGCCGCCCTAACTGCGGCCTCGCCGCCCTATTCCTGCGGCCCCGCCGCCCTACTTCGCGGCCCCGCCGCCCTACGTCGCGGCCCTGCCGCCCTACTCTACGGCCTCGCCGCCCTACTCCTGCGGCCCTGCCGCCCTCCTTCACGGGCCCCGCCGCCCTGTTCAGCGGCCCCGCCGCCCCACTTCGCGGCCCCGCCGCCCCACTTCGCGGCCCCGCCGCCCTGCTTCAGCGGCCCCGCCGCCCGTCTGCTGCGGCCCCGCCGCCCCACTTCGCGGCCCCGCCGCCCTTCTTCAGCGGCCCCGCCGCCCGTCTGCTGCGGCCCTGCCGCCCCACTTCGCGGCCCCGCCCCCCCCACTTCGCGGCCCCGCCGCCCTACTTCAACGGGCCCCGCCGCCCTACTTCAGCGGCCCCGCCGCCCTACGTCTGCGGCCCCGCCGCTTGTCTGCTGCGGCCCCGCCGCCCTACACCTGCGGCCCCGCCGCCCTACTTCAAGGGCCCCGCCGCTCTACTTCAAGGGCCCCGCCGCCCTACTTCAGGGGCCCCGCCGCCCTACTTCACCGGCCCCACCGCCCTACGTCAACGGGCCCCGCCGCCCGTCTGCTGCGGCCCCGCCGCTCTCCCCTCCTGCAGCAGCGCGCCCAAGCCGCCGATCGCCGCGCCGCCCTGTACCAGAGGAGCCGAGCCGCCCTGCCGCCGAGCCGCCCGGCCGCCCACCAGCCGAGCCGCCGTGCAGCCAAGCCGCCCAGCCGCCGAGCCGCCCAGCCGCCGAGCCGCCGAGCCGCCCAGCAGCCGAGCCGCCCCGCAGCCGAGCCGCCGAGCCGCCCAGCAGCCGAGCCGCCCAGCCGCCGAGCCGCCCTACAGTTGAGCCGCCCGAGCATCCCTGTCCGGTGAGCACAGCCTCTCTGTCATTGCGTGCCCTTCCCCTACTGCTTGCACTGCTAGTCTACCGTCGTCATGGCTACCCCTAGTGTCCTCGCTTTTGACGCTGAGGGTCGAGCCATTGACTTTGAGGTCTGGGTCGACGACCTGCAGTTGTTCTTACTGTGCGATAGGGCGGACGGTCTTTCTCTCTTTGACCTCACCTCTGGCGCCTCTCCTGCCCCTGCTGCTGATGCTGACCCCACTATTCGCTCTTAGTGGGCCACCCGCGATGCTGCTGCACGTCTTGCTGTGCGTCGCCACTTGCCTACCACTGAGCGCGCGCACTTTAGTCAGTACAAGAGTGCTCAGACCTTGTACGACGCTGTAGTTGCGCGCTACTCTTCCCCTGCCACTGCTGCACTCAGCCGCCTCATGCTACCGTACCTCTTCCCTGACCTTGCTGCATTTCCCACAGTTGCTGACCTCATTACGCACCTCCGCACTAGTGACACTCGCTACCGCGCCGCGCTGCGTGCTGAGTTCTGCACCAAGAACCCCCCCCCTCATGTACATCACTCTCTATAACATAGTCACCCGCCTCTCTGACTCCCTTCGCGTAGTCAGGGACCACTTTCTCTCAGTCTGTCCCACCACTCTCACTGTTGACCTCCTAGAGAAGGCCCTCCTAGCAGCGGAGAAGAGCATAGTCGCTGTAGGAGCCTCTCGTGGTGACCCTCGCACCCCCATCTTTGAGGGGTGTTCCCCTTCCCCCCTGTTGCCCTCTGTCGCCTCTGCTGCTGCGGCCGACCTACTTGGTCTTGAGTCGGTCCGTGCGGCGTCTGCCCCTAGCGGGAGACGGCGCTCTGGCAAGGGCAAAGGGGGCAAGGGCGCGGGTGGAGCTAGCGGGAGTGGTGGAGGTGGCGGTGGAGGCGGCGGAGGGAGTGGGGGTGGCGGTGGGAGTGGTGGCGGAGGTGGTGGTGGTGGTGGCGGCAGTGGAGGCGGAGGCGGCGGCGGCGGTAGCGGTGGGAGCGGAGGTGGCGGTGGTGGCGGCGGTGGAGGCGGCGGTGGCGGAGGAGGTGGAGCTGGTCGGGGTGGTGCCTCGCAGCGGAGCGGCTCTGCTGGTGGTCAGCGCCAGCAGCAGCAGCAGCAGCAGCGTTCTCGGGACATCCCCCCCCCTCAACAACTCCGTGAGTGGTACACGCAGCGTCAGCGTGGTGGGGGTTTTGGTCCGTGCACCTACGTCCTTCGCTCCGGCGACCGCGCGGGTGAGCAGTGTGGGGGTGCCCACCCCACCCAGCGTTGCTTTGGCCGCCTGACGGACGCTTGGCGTCAGCAGTTCCCCGAGGCTAGTGAAATTCCCCGGCTGGGGAGAGCTGTCTAGGGCACGCGTAGCTATCTATGATCTTGACTTTGATGCTATCCTTGCTGCCATGTATGCAGTGACTATTACTGATGAGGGTGACTGTTACCGGAGTTTCCCGCCCGACCCGGGCATAGGTACTGCTGCGCTAGGTGCTTGTGAGGCTGCTGCTCTGGGTGCCAGCGCGTGTGCGCCCTTAGGTACTGGTGAGGCTGCGCTCTCAGGTACCGCGTCGGCTTCGGCCTCCCTCACCTTCACGCTTGACTCGGGGGCTTCTCGCTCCTTCTTTCGAGACCGCACCACACTCACACCGCTTGGTCGGCCGGTTGCAGTCTCCTTGGCTGACCCCTCTGGGGGTCCTGTCCTCTCTCACTTCTCCAC